ACTTCCTCACAAGTGGCCAAACTCAGACCGCTCCAATTATCAGATTCCCATCACTATCTGAAAGAAAAGGTGGCCTTGGGTTTAATCTCATTCCATCCTGCTGTTTACTGGATCCTTCCCAGCCCTCCAGGAAGCAAGTATCCTACCCAGCTGCAGCTGGGCCATCCAGACCTTTGATGGCCTACTGCTCACTTACATGACGCCTTGCTGATTGTTCACCTGTGGTCTCCTTACACAAGATACTATTGTAACCTCAGGGATTGTCTTGTGCCTTTGTGCCCTTGGGTTTTTCACTAAACAGTGATCTGTCCTTTCCAGCAAACACCTGGCAGGCCACAGAGGAAATAGAGGGAAAAGAGTGAGCCCATTTGGAGTAGAGCAGACTTCAGTCCTTAGCTCCAGGCCCTTTGCCAAGTTAAGTTGACATCTGAGCCTTCATTTTCTCATTTGCTTCAAAAAGCATGGGCTAGGGTATGGCTTAGTGGTAGAGCACTTGCCTAGCATGCATGCTGGGTTTCATCCCCAGCACCTCCAAAAAAAAGAAAAAGAAAGACATATGTACATGGGGCTCGTGACCCAGGCCTTCGCTCTAAGAGTTGTCTGAAGATTGAATGACACAAGCATGTGACGGGCTCTTCGGGAAAATGTGTAGATTTTCATTACCAGGCAGCTGTTACTTCTAACCCCCAAAACCTGGGGCTGGTACTGCAGGGAGCAAGAAGAATGGAATACATGAGCTCCCCACCTCCACTAGAGATGCTCCTACCACAGAGCACATGTGTCAACGGGAAGCTCATCTGAAAAAGCCAAAACTGATGAGCAATGTACTTTTTTTGTTGGGCTTTTTGAGTTTTTGTGTTTTTGTTTTTGGTTTTTTTTAGTGCTGGTGATGAAACCCAGGGCCCCTTGTATGCTAGGCAAATGTTCTGGGGTGTGTTAGGCTACACCCCAGCCTAACAGTGTACTTTAAAATTAAAATAACAAAATCTCTTCCTGAAAGCCATTTGGGCAGATGTGGTCCTCTACCCATAACGAAAGATAGGTGTGCTGCCATTTTCCTATCTCAGTTGGCCGTGGCCACTCCTCCAGACTGTGATCCTCCTACCTTCTGGTGCCTTCTGAATGGCTGAGATTATACAGGCATTTTGCCACCCCATGGCAGGCTTTGGTTTTTTGAGACAAGGTCTCACTTTGTAACCTAGGCTGCCCTTAACTCTCCATCCTCCTGCCTCAGCCTTCCAAGTACATGTGGCAGTGCACAAAATAAATCATACTTTAAAATAATTTTATTTAATGATAGGAAAACCTTCTGTGCTCACTTAAATATTACCCCATGGGTTAGGTTTCATTGTTGAAATGTTTGGTTCAAGGGCTTGTTCTAAATGTTAGATACTTGGCTGTAGTGGGTGTCAGAGCTGGGAAAGGCACCTCGCCTGAAGACGCTGATCTACATGGAAGGTACTTTCTTTATTGTGTGGATGTGCTCATTATTCACAAGTCTCTTATTTTATTCCATCCCAGGAAGACTCAGCTCCTCAGAGAATCCTTTGTCACGCCCCTCCCCCACATTTGTGTGTGTGCACCCCCATGCCATTTCACTCCACTCCACTCGGCTATACCGACTTTGCTGGAATAGCCAGTCCCTCCCTTGGTAGACAGCTTTTTGAGAGTGAGGACCAGGCTCTTCAGTTAGCGTGTGCCTCCTTTACCTGGAAAAAAGGAAAGCCTTGAATCCCTTGCTGATGGAAAGGAAGCCCACCCAGTCTTCCCAGGGTTTGATTTTTACTGAGGCATGTCTCAGTGTCTTAAAATCAGTGCTTTTGTGGACCTTTTAGCTGTCATCCATATGTCATTTGGGCCTGGAGCAAGGAGGACCTGTGACTGGACAGTTGGAGGTTGAAGGTGTCCTGAAACCCCGCGGCCCTGTGGTCTCTGGAGTCTGCTAAGCATTTATGAACAGATGTGTGCCTTGTCTTTCCCCTAGTAACCTCTGGGGATTGACAGTGTGGTTTTTTTGTTTGTTTGTTTGTTTTTTGGTTTTTGGGTTTTTTTTGAGTACCTGAGGTGACAAAGCAGAAAACTGGAATTCCTGAAGTTAGACTTGGATCATACACAGCCTTACATGCCATAGCTGGGTCAGCAACTTCTGTTCCCTAGAGAATGAGTTTAAAGGATTCACTGGAGGAGCCAGTCAAAAATGAGGTAACAGTTTCAACTGTGCTGTGCCCCAGAGGTAGGCTGGAAGTCTGGCAGCATCAGCATGGCCTGCAGAGAGCTGAGAGACCTAAGTAGCCCAGGCTGGCCTCCAGCTCAGGATCCTCCTGTATCTGCCTCCTGAGTGCTGGGATTATAAGCACGTACCACCACGCCCAGATGTCTGCTAGTTTCTGAGGAAGCTACACTTAAGAAATTTTAGCTCCCAGTTAGGGTCTTCTGAAATAACCTAATTTACTTTTCTGCTTTGCCCATTAAACATTATTTGGTCAGAGGAAATCGATGGAGGGAGACTGCATTTTGTTTATATTTGCAAAATATCCTGATGTATCTTGAGAACCACTAGGCGTCATAAAACATAACCAGCAGGCTCTGGTGTCTTGAAGAACTCCAACTGTTTAGCTGCTCATTAAGAGTTGCCCAGATTAGCCAGCATGTAACCCCCCCCGACCGGAAGTACCCATGGGCTGGAAAGTGAGGGTCCAGCTGGACTGGTGAGTCGGGAGTGTGGGCCCTCGTGCTGAGGAGTTACTTGTCCGTAACTTCTGGCCCTGATCCATGCGTCCCCATTTGAAGAGCCTGGCCATCTTCACTTGGAGCGTGTTTCCCTGATGTTGGTGAGTTTAGGATTGCAGTTCTTGGAGGAGTGACTTACATAATGCAGTAAGATATGCACTGCGTTTAGAAGACAGTGTGTGTTAGGAACTTCACAGAGCCCCACGTGTTAACTTTGCCCAGCCTGCTGTTTGCTTGCCTTGTTTTAATTGTGGGTTTCGGTATCTGCTACATCATCTCTTTACAAGACAGTTGGGGTTTGTTTTCTGGAATTCCTGGGCCCTCCAGTGAGAAGGAAGTACCATGGCTGAAAACCCACACGCTGACCACTGTGATGTAGAAAGTAAACTGGGGGCTTCCTGCGGCCTTCACGCACCACAGAGTCCAGCTCGGCCAGGTCGTTCTGCTGTTGTGGGGCTAGGCTTCACTAGAGAATGAGGCTTCTTCCCTTAAGAGGGAATGCCAGAAAGCACTGCCTCAATGCTGGGTATTGTTTCCAAGCTTCTTTCCTGGTGGGTGGCTAGGCTAGCATTGTTTAGGGGTTGAGATCCCAACTCCAGCTCATCTATTCTCCAGCTGTTGTTTACCCGCCAGCTTCCAGGAATAGTCAGGCAAAAGGTCTTTTAAGAACAGTTGTGTGCTGCTGTACTTTCTGGTAGCTGATAATTAAGCACACTGCTGATTTAGCCTCTGTTTACTGAATAGAACGCCAATAGTGACCACTGAACATTTGTGTCCCCTGGAAGCAGTGACGTTGAAGTGTAGACTCCCATGAGTTCATCTTTACCCCACCCTGCCCGTGCCATTGAGCAGAGGCTTTTTATCTGCAGCGCAGCAAAGAAAGTGCACACTCTAAGCTCCCTGAACAGTCCTTCCCATTTTTCTCTCTTTTTAGATTTTCTTTTTTTTACTTTTTTTTTTTTAGATAGCACTGTATATGATATAAAGTTCAAAGAGTCAAAAGGTCGACAGTGAAAGGCTCACCCCTGCCTTTCAGCCACTTGGAAGCCATCAGTGCTGCTGATGCCTCAGTGTCTTTGTAAGCAGACTGTGTGTCCCACTCTAGCCTCTCTCTTCTACCTCTGAACATATACTCTGGCCACCTGCTTCCCATCCCCTTGGGTGTCTTCACTGCCCATGTCAGACTCAGTATCTTCTTGTCTATCTCCCTACACACTTAGAGCTCTGTCTGAGTTGCCGTCAGCTTCGTTTGCACAAACCAGAGCCCAAGTTTTCACCCTTGACCCCTCCTCCCCACACTGAAGCCTTGCAGTCACGCTTCCTCAGTTTCTTCCAGGTCAGTCAGCTTCAGGTTCTCACCTAGCTCCCATGCTTAACACATTTTGGTGGCTTCCTAGTGCTCTGTTACTAAGATCAAAGTGACAGTTACTCCCCGTAAGGCCTCATGTGGCCTTCACAGACCAGCCAGGCCTGTTTACACTGTCTGCAGGCCAGCTTCAGGACTCCACTTACCCATCTGTCTGCCAGTGTCTCCTGCTGCTAGTCTCTGTCTAAAACGCTCTGCTCTTTTCAACATCGATCTAGTTATCACTGAGGTATTTCAGATCTCGGGTTGACCTCTTCATCCTTCTCTGCCTTCCCAGACAAGGTCAGGTCCCTAGTCAGTTGACACCCCCTTTTCCTGCATTGTACTTACTAGAGCTGCAGTTTCCATTTAGTCTGTGATCATGAAATAAATGTTTCTTTACATCTTGTCTTTGATGTTGGAAAATATTTTAGAAACATTAAAAAGTGGTGTTTTTTTTTTAAGTTTGCAATTGTAAATGAAGCTAAGCTATGAAGTATAACATCCATGTTTATGAGTGTTGGGTGACGGAGGGAATATCTCCCTTAAGGCCTCTGGTGATCATAGTCTGTATTACCTCTCAACTCCATGCCAGAAGATTAGGCATAGGGATTGCAGAAATTCAGATCCAGACAGACCCTGACCTCAAGCAGGTTACAGTGTTTTACTTTTAAAGACCCCAGATCTGTTTCCTGTGCTGTTTCCAGGTGGCCCACAGCATCTCAGAAAGCCTTCTACAGATTGGGTGATGGGAGCAGCACTGTCTTTTGCTCTAAGAATAGAAAAATATCCTTGGGCCACCTTCTGATGCTTCTTGAGAAACTCCAAGCCCTGTGATGTGTGTTTCACAAAGCCTTTTGTGAACAGGAGCTTGTGTGGTGTCCACTCACCAGGTGCTGTCTTTATGTCTATCTTTTATCCCCAGGAGACCTGTAGGAAGTGTCAGGGGCTCTGGAAAGAACATAATGGCCTCACTTGTGAAGAGCTGGCTGAAAAGGATGACATCAAGTACCGAACATCTATGTGAGTAACATGACTCAGGGCAGAGATGGGCCAGCTCTCCTCTGCCTTCAGCAGAAGGGCAGGGGTACTGTGGGAAGAGGAAGCTCGAGCCACCCCAGGTCTGGCGTGATCCATTGCCTCGTAGCGCCATTTCAGAAGTAGAATACTACATATAAAATGCCTGCCTCATGTACATTTAATAAATGTTATCCCCTGCTTCTCTTTATTGCCTAACTAAACAAACAGTGAGAATACATCTTAATTGCATGAGATCGCACTCATGTTGCTTCTATTTGTATTAGAGGATGCTGGTGGCCTTTGAGAGTAAGGGGGATTTCCAGCCTCCAGAATGCAAAGTAAAGCGTCAGTAATGGTTCTAATACTAACCGTTACTGTGAAATGCTCCCTGTGTGGCTGAGCACTTTACAATGCTGATGTATTAAATGCAGTCAGTTAAGCAGACAGACTACTCTCTCTCTTTCTCTCTCGTAACAGTCCAGCCTTGACAAGCTGATGGAGATGATCTGTTCCATGAAGTCACTCACATCCAGCTTCCTTTGCTCTCCCTGCACCACCATTCCCTGAGCATGGGGTTCTCACCTACTGATTGTGCCTGGGGCTTGGCCACATTTATACCCCGGTATAGGAAGTGGAAGGAAGGAGACAAAATGCTAGACAGGCAGCTTTTCAGTTGTAAGTCATGCAGAAGTGTTGTGTGTCACATTAGCACAACCTGGTTCCAAGGCAAGCAACCTACGTAGCTTCTACGTGTGATTTCATGTCCCATCTAAATAGGAAGAGTAAGGGTGGGGTTGTTATTCAAAAGATAAACTGGGAAGTGGTGTTTGGCAGGGAGCTGTCTCTGAGTCTCCAGCACAGGTCGCTGCCAGCATCATTTTACGGATGAGGCTACTGGAGGCTCAGGGAGCCCCGGTGACTTACCAGGCACAGGACTTCCTCACTGTGCTTTACTGCTGCAACTATGGAGGGCAAAATGATGTCCCCCATGATGTTCTCCTTATAGGACAAAAGGGACTTTGCAGATGTATTTAAGATTATGGACTTGGCAATAAGAAGATTATCAAAGTGAACTCAATCCAATAAAATAGAAGGCCTTTCCTGGCTGGGGTCACACAGAGATTCCAGTGACAACAATGAATCAGAAAAACTTAAAAAAGAACTTGACATCCCATCGCTGCTGTTAAAGATAGAAGGAGAGGGCCATGAACCCAGGCATGAAGCAACCTCTAGAAGCTAGGAACACCCTCAGCTGCAGCCACCAAGAAAACAGGAATCTCAATCCTAATCCTCAAGGAACTGGATCCTTCCACCAACCCAAACATTCAGCAGTTTCTCTAGTAAAGACTGCAGGCCACAGATGTTTCCCAGGGGGAACTGCTTTGGAGCACGACCTCAGTTCTGCTGCCTGGTGAGTTCTGATCCACTCAGCATATAGGTCAGCCCTAGAAACTTAGTGCACCAGAGGACCCTCTCTCAGTCTGGTGGCCCCTGGATCAGAAGTCTGGATCAGGGCAGAATCCTAACGTGATGTGTATTGATTCCAGAATCAAAAAATAAAAATAAAACAAATCTCCTAAATGTGTTGCTTCTTTAGTGAAGGCAGATACGAGATGTACAATAGGAGCTTGACTTTGAAAAGGACATCCTAATACCCCTGACCTCCAGACCACCAGAACTTCAGAGAGATTACACACTCCACACAAACCTCTGTTCTCCCACTTTCTGCATCCACAGTCCTTACCAGTGCATCCTAGAGCACCTGCTGCTTCTGCTCACCAGGTCAGATCTGTCTACATGTCATTTGAGTAGTAGACCAGAGCATTGTCCTGCTGGATGACAGATGAGATGCTTGTCACTGCTGGTGTTTTCTGCCACTGGACGGAGGATAAAAGCACTTTCCACATCAGTAGCTGTGCACCATTGCCAGGTGCTGTGTGTTCTGTGTAAGGAGCAGCATCTGGACTAGCAGCTGCTGTTAGTCAGCACCTGCTCAGCCTCCAGTGCTGCCCTCTCCTCCAGGGCCCAGCCGTCTGTACAGGACAAACAGAGAAGTAACAAGACACTGAGGAAGTCAGCACTGTACCCTGAAGTCACATGGAAGCATCAGTGTTAAAGATGCCCATGGGATATGGTACTACTTTTAGAGAGGACGTGCTCCCAGAGCTTCAGATTGCCTTTTCCTACATAAAACCCTTACTCCGTTGACCTGACAACCAAGGAATTCTGCCAAGTATCAAAAATAATAAAGAAGCCAGGCGTTGGTGGCTCCCGCCTGTAATCCCAGCTACTCAGGAGGCAGAGATCAGGAGGATCGAGGTTCGAAGCCAACCCCCGGGCAATTAGTTCATGAGACCCTATCTCACAACTACCCAACACAAAAAACAAGACTGGTAGAGTGGCTTAGGTGGTAGAGAGTCTGCCTAGCAAGCGTGAGGCCCTGAGTTCAAACCCCAGTACTGCCAAAAAAAAAAAAAAAATCAGATGGAAGTCTTTGATAATATACCACCAGTTCACATTTCCCACCAGTTGTCTCAAAATAGCTTTACATGTATACTGCGTTGGTTTGTCCAGGCCAGGATTCAAAAGATCTCCTCTTTACATGTGGCAGTTATTTTTCTTGAGTCTCTTCATAAAGTACCCCCCTCCTCCTCCCTTCTCTTTGTTTATGAAAAACAAAGACAATTGACCTGCATATCTTCTGAAGTTGACTGCTTTTTCATGCCATTGTTAAATTTGTTCTTTTGTTCCCTATATTTCCTATAAATTAGAATTTAGACCTAACGGCTTGATTAGATTCACATTCAAGGAGCTTTGGGGAGAGTATTTCACCGAGAGTGCTGTGCTTCTCACATTGCCTCACATCATAGCCACATAGTGTCATGTGGGCCCTCTAAATGAAGGTCATTAAGGACCCCAAGCTAGGTTATAGGACCCCAAGCTAGGATCGTAGTATTGTGGAGACGTGGGGATGGACTTAGGAAATGTGTACAAAGTCAGCACTTGGTGGCTGATAGATGTAGGAGGTGAGAGTGGAAAGAGTCAAAAATTATTCTTGGGTTTCTAGCTTGGATGAATAAACCACACTAAAACAGAGAAGCGGGAGAAGGGGGAGACATGGTGAAGACTTCAGATGTGGACATAGTGAATCTGCCACTTATTTACCAAACTTTGGTTCTTGCCAAAAAAATAAATGCATTCAAAGTAATGATGCCACCAAAAATGGTGACATAGGGAACCCCAAAACCTACCTTCCCCACTAAAGCAGCATTTAACCTGGCAAAACCTGCTACAGTCAACTTTTTCATTTGTTTCTGCCCTTACAACTTTTTCAGGGCTGGAGCAGCCTCCCAGTAGATTTTATTGAAAGCATTTAAAGACATATGCTAGCTGCAGCTGCCTGAGGCCAGGGATAAGACAGGCAAGCAACAGACAGGTCTAGAAGGGTGGGTGCATGACCGGGGCTCGACACATGCTCAGCAAACCCAAGAAGACCCTAGGCTCTCAAACCTCTGGCTGAGCTTTAAGTATGTGTAAACAGTAGGTGAAAGGTAAGAGAGCCAACCTGCAAAGATCAGGATGAGTATTCCTTCCTCCCTCCCTCCTTTGCTTCCTCCCTTTTTCTGTTTGTTTGGCTCCAAGCATTTAAAGAAATCTCTGAGTTCTAGTAATGACCACTAATTTAATAGACTTAGGTGACCATACATGACAGAAAATATAGTCCCTACAAGAATAGTTTTTAGAAGTCTCCAAACAGTTGCAAACCCTGCAAGAAGTAATCTAATTGTGCAGTTTCCACATTATAATATTCAAAATACCCTGTTTTCAACAATAATTTACAAGACATTGAAAGAAACAGGAAAATGTGGCCCATTCACAGGAAGAGCAGCAGTGGGCACAAACCATCCCTGAGGCTGCCCAGATGTTGGACTTAACAAGATAAATACTTAAAATCTACAGTCTTAAACATGCTTAGAGAGCACAAGGAAACCACGGACAAAGACTAAAGAGAACCAGTAGCACCAGTTATAAGTACAGAATCATCCACAGAGAGAAGCTAAAAAGAAACCAGCAAAACACTGCACCTGAAAGTAGCTGAAGTGAAAACTGCACTAAAAGAATCCCGCAGAGTTGAGCTGTTTTACCAGTCCTTGCCAGCAAGGACAGTGTTCACACAAAGCAGGCAAAGGATTCAGCAGGTGTTTCTTTAAGAAGATAGGATTGAGTACACTCAGTATCATTAGTCACCCAGAACGGCAAACGAAAACACAGTGAGATAGCTCTTCACACTGACTAGAGCATGATGAAACAAAACGTGTTAGTGAGGATAGAGGGAAATCGAAGCCCTTATACCTTACAGGTGGGAGTGTAAGATGATATAACTGCTATTGATAAGCAGTTTGGTGGTTCTTAAGTAAGTTAACAGAATTACCATGTGACACAGCAATTCTAATCCTAGGTCTGTACCCGAGAGAATTGAAAGCAAGTATTCAAACAAAAACTTGTGCATAATGTTCATTGTAGCACATTTCATAATAGCCAAAAGGTATCACCCAGATATTGCAGGTGCCTGATGACACACAATTCCAGCAGTTTGGAGGCTAAAGCAGGAGAATTGTAAGTTTGAGGCCAGCCTGGGCTACATAGCAAGACCCTGCCTCAAAAAAACAATGAACCCAGATGTCCATCAGCTGATAAATGGATAACAGAATGTGGTACATCTCTATTTCATTCTGCCGTGAAAAGGAATGAAGTAGGAGATAGTCTACAACATGGATGAACTTTGCAAACATCATGCTGCATGAAAGAAGGCAGACACAGAGCCATATCTTACATGGTTTCCATCTATAATGTCCCCAACTTAGAATGGCTTGATTTATAGTTTTTCTGCTTTTTCATGGGTTTGTCAGAGCTTAACCACATTATAAGTTGACAAACATCTGGACATTCAGCTTACTATTTTTTGACTGTGATGGGTTTGTCAAGGCATTGAACAGCTATTTCAAATTTACAATAGGTTTATCAGAATGTAACCCTGTCATAAGTCAAGACATACCTGTATATGAAATATCTGTAGGCACATGTGTTTTCACTCATTGTAGAACAGTCAAATCCATAGAGACAGACAGTATACTGATGTTAGTGGGAGACTGGGAAATGACATCTTAATGAATACAGGTTTCTTTTAAGGGTGCAGTGGCATACGTACGTAATCTCAACACCAGGAGACTGAAGTGAGGATCGTGAGTTTGAGATCAGTCTGGGCTACAGTACTTCTGAATGGGTCAACTTTATGTGCATTTTACCACCAAAAATATGTATATATATGTACATAAATAACAGACATAGGGTTATTCACAGAGGAGGACCATAAAATTTTGAGTGGAATGTGCGTTAGGAACTGAAGATAGCTCTAGAGAAGAGTTCCCACTACACTTGGGTTGCGTAAGCACATGTAGCAGTGGACTCAAAGGATGTCAGCTGGTTACAGAGGGCCCTGAGCCTTCCTGTTGGAATACTGTGTCAGCAGACACAGCCGCAGCCCAGGCTTCTCTTCCTGTCCTGCCTTTAGGAAAACATCCAGTGGGCTATTTCCTGCCTACTGGAAATCCTGTTTGCCAGACCATGCTCCCCCAAAGAACCAGCTATGGTTTCTCCTCGGTCCTATTTTTCACTTTTGTGTTAATAGGTAGATGGTTACCATATCCCATAGTAGCAGTCCTTTTTTTGATCCAGAGCCGTTCTGGCTCTATCTGGTAATGTTCTTAGGAATGCAAAAGCAGTCCTGGTTAGCTCTTCATGCAGTGGTGAACTGTAGCATTCTTCATAGACTCCTCCTTCTCTTCTGCTGCCACACCCATCATTTCACATTGTGACTTCTCCAAGCCATCAGGAAAAGTGTGTAGCCTTGATTCTCTTCAGCCTTGTCTGTCTCACGCTGAGATTAAGCAGCTGCCCCGGGGACATCAGCCAGCCCCAGACAACCAGAGTGTGACAGCTGAAAGTTAGGCCTGCTTGAGACGCTCTTACAGAGAGAGTGTATACCATAGAAAAGCGCAGCTGTGTTTTGGACACAGCCTTTTAGATCAGAAATGGTCCTCAAAACCTTGAGTTTTCACATGAACGTTGAGAAGTGTCTTGGTGCTGAGTAACTTAAAATTATCACCGTATATGCCACTCTAAGTTGACAGTAATATTTCACTATAAACTTTGCCTTTCTAATGTTTTCTACTCAGAAAAACTTGCAAGTCATTTTTCTATAATTTGAGCTGGGTATAAGTTCTTTTCAAGCCAAACTTCTGATTTCCTTCATTTCAGGCCACTCACAGATCAGACCTGAATAACTAGTGAGTTTTTAGTGTATTTTCCTATTTTTAGATTCATGGTGTGGCTTCTGAGGAACACACTGGAGCTGCCTTCTGAGTGTCCGTAGTCTGAGCACTTGTCCACGCAGACTCACCTCTAGACTGCAGCAGGTCCTCCTGGTCACTCAGCTCTGGAGGCTGCTGCCTGGGGAACGAGAAGTACTCAGACAGGCCCCAGCTTGCAGCACACTCCCCTGCTCTCAGTAGCAAACCTCTGCACTCCTGTTGTGACTGCTCTTGTGCCATGGAATACCCCCAGCCCCTGTTCTCAGCCTTCAAGGCCCTCAGCTTAGCAGAGAAGGTGAAAAGTGTCTCTTTTAGGTGGGAACAGAGCACCACGGAAATACCTAGCATTGCAGGCAGCTCCTGACAGAAAGCAGACCACCGTTCTGACTCTAGTCACCTGCCCTCCAAATCAGTTTATATGATACTAGAAACAGGTAGCCTCGCTGCAAGGGAGCCTGGGACTGTGGGGTTCTGACAATGGGAAGCAGGCTTTCCCACAGGGAAGTATTAGACTGGTCAGTAGATTGCCCCATCCCCAGGCCAAGTTTTCAAAACTCCTGGAGGGTGAGGTTTGGGCTTATTGGCTCTCCGTTATCCACCTTTGTATATGTAACATGTAGTTTAGGAAGACACTGACTTTTTTTCTCTCCATTTTAAGGCTTTGGGAGTCTTAAAACAGAGAAGACATTTTTCTAAATGCCAGGTGGCCAGACACTGTGCCAGTGGGCTTTATATCTTACCTGGAATCCTTAAAATGCCATGAGAAAGTTGTGTTTTCCCAGTTTAAAAATGAGGAAACTGAGTCTGCAGGCAGTTGGGAAACTTACCCAAGGTCATATAGTTGATAAACTCAGACACCTAAACATAGGCTTTTTTCACTCTTTAATGTCATCAAAAGCCACAGGCAATCATTACATGTGAAAAGAAATAAATGTTTAACAGCCGTAATGTTTTTCTTTCCTCTTTATCTTCCCTGCCGGCTCCAATCAAGTTTTCTTTTTTTCAGTGAAGAAAAAATGACTGCTGCACGCATTAGAAAATGCCACAAGTGTGGGACTGGCCTCATCAAATCCGAAGGCTGTAACCGCATGTCTTGCCGCTGTGGTGCCCAAATGTGCTACCTCTGTCGAGTGCCTATCAATGGCTATGACCATTTCTGCCAGCATCCTCGCTCACCAGGAGCTCCTTGCCAGGAGTGCACCAGGTGTTCCCTATGGACAGACCCCACTGTGAGTACATGCGGAACTGCCTGTTCCATGGGGGCAATAGCCATACATTGCTGTATGAGAAGTGTTTTGTAATGCATGACAGATCCTGACTCATGAAAAGACACAGGAAATTACATAGACCAATAACCATAGGGAAAAAAATGGAGAAAGTGATCAATAACTACTCATCACAAAGTGAGCCGGGCATGGTGGGAATGCCAGTGATCACAGCTTCTTGAGCATCTGAAGCAGGAGAATTGCTTGAGCCTGTAGATGCAGTGAGATCCCATCATAAAAGAATAAGAAACGAAGCTAGTATATGGAAACAGTTCTGTGGGCAAATTCTTTCAGTCCTCTAGGGGATTAATTAACATTTTACACCATCTGAAGTATTTCAGAGCACAGAACAATGAGACAGTTTCCCAGCATAATGCTCCCATCAGAGCCTGACACAGAAGACTGCAGGCTTCTCATGGCTCTCACAAACAAAGGTTTTTAATTCTCTAAATAAGTATTAGCAAATAACATACCAAATAATCATGTTCTAGAAATGCAAGGGTGGTTTCCTGTTAATAACGCTATTAATATAATTCACCTTATGATATCTCTAGATGGTGAACAGAAATTTAATAGAATCAAACATCCATTCTTGATTTAAACTTGAAAAATACTATCAGAATAATACTTCTTTGATAGGATTTGTGTATGTGTGTTAGTGGGATTTTAAACTCAGGGCCTTACACTTAGTGGCAGGCTCTCTACCACATGAACCACACCCCCAACCCTGATTTATTTTAAGCCCCAAGTTTCAAAACAGTTGTTAGTGGATATTTAACAGTGCAGTGCATAGAAGCAGTCCCAATAAAGTCAAGTATCAGATGGTCACAGCTTGTTCTGGAATTGCTAGCAGTGTAGCTGGCTAAGCAAATAAAACAGAAGTAGGTGCTGGAGAAGGTCATAGCTAATACTGATCAGTACCCTCTGTGTGTCAGACACTATTTTGTGTAAAGAAAGGCACATTTACCATTTTAAACTTGGAAAAGACAAAATAATCAACTGGAAAGCTATCAGAAGTAGTAGAAAGATGGCTAGATACAAAATACACCAGCTGGCATTTGCAGCAGCCGTGTACAAGTACAGATCATAAAATATCCTAGAATTCAGCTTGACCTAGAAATGTGAAGAAAATTATAAAACAAGGATAGTGAAGAGACAAACATGAGAAATGTATGCTTTGTTCTTAAATGCATTTGATATTTAAAAGAAATCAACTCTTTTTAAACTAAAAATAAGCGCAGTCAGTTCTAAACTAATTTGTAAGGTTAGCGAAATGATGTGCAGAGACTGACTCTGCAGAAGTTGATTTGCAGCAGTGAATTCCCTGCTGACTTGGAGCAAGCACACCAAGGCCTTCAGTGGGGGAGCCTCACGATAGACAGGTCCTTCTCAGCTTCCCCTAGGAAAGTGAAGATGGCCTGAGTAGTCCTCAGAGGGGACAAGTCACAAAGAAACCTAGTGCAATTCACATCTCAATTCAATAGCATTAATCTTCTTGAAAAAAAAGTGACTGTGATTTCAAAAATTAGACTAATATTTACTATAAAGCTACACTAACCAAAACCATGCAGACTAATTCAAGAATAGGCAAATAGATCAAAGGAACAAATACAGAACAGAAACAGAGCTGTAAGAATTTTTCTTAAACAATGGTGTTATTGCTTGAGTACACAGACAAATTTATGCCACCAACATATTTCCAATTGTGGGTGAGGCCCTGTTTGGTCTTACAATACAATGCCAATCAGTGAATTCAGCTGTCTATCAGCATCGGAATGTAGCCTCCTTATCCTTTCTGTTCTTCTCAAACTGCTTTTGAACAGCAGCTGTTTCTTAGTTAAATGATAAGGATGGTCAGGAAGATCTGGAGCAAGTCCTTCACACTTAAGGATTCTGAAGATTTTATGGCCTGCCACAAAATGTACTGCACGATGCCATGTGAGTCCTTCGGATCACACTGGTGAAGGAATCAGGTCCTTCTAGGCCATAACTCCTTCATGTGTCAGACATCAGTTTCACCCAGGTGGGGATGCTAGGACAGAGCTGACTAGGACAAGCTTACATTTGATTCATGGTGGCAGTGGTTTAGCAGAAAGAAGAAAAAAATGTAAGAATTTAATGTATAAGCCTGGGCATAGTGGCTCATGCCTGTGATCCCAACTACTTGGGAGGCAGAGATCTGGAGGACAGCAGTTCAAGACAAGCCTAGGAAAAAAGTTAGCAAGACTCCATCTCAACAAACAGGGTATGGTGGGTCACATCTGTAATCCCAGCTATGTGGAGGCAAAGGTAGGAGGATCAGAGCAGACTGGGCAAAAAGTAAGATCCTATCTGATAAATACATGAAAGCAAAATGGACTAGGAGCATGGCTCAAATGATAGAGCACTTGCCTAACAAGGGCAAGACCCTGAGTTCAAACCCCAGGGCCACTAAAAAAAAGAAAAGAAGAATAATTTAATGTGATTAAAAATAGTATGTCACATCACCAGAGAAATGACCAGTTCATTCATTTGTTCATTCTCACTAGGCAGTGGTGGCAGAACTGGTCTGAACCGAAAGTCCTTATCCTCGTGGAGTTTACCCTGATTTAGCAGGGTAAAACAGGACTCTTCTGAATCTTCAGTACCATTTGGGACTAATAAGAACAATGCCAGGAACTGGGGGAGGCATTGCTTGAGATGGAGTGGTGTGGGCGGGCAGCTCAGGGCGGCATTTGCAGTGCAGTCTAGAGGAGGAGCAAGGCTGCTGAGAACCAGGAAGAAGGCAGGTGTGACCTACAGGTGCTGAGCTTAGGGGGTGAGGGACCATCCCAGAACTGGTGGTCAGTCTTAAGTGCAGTCGAGCCATCACAGGGCATTACAAGGGTTGGCATTTTCAGGATCACACTGGCTACTAAATGGAAAGAAGGGACATTCAACAGCTCTTGTGAGAAATACCTCAAGGAGATAACTTTTGTAATCGTGGAGCAGAGAGGTTTCTTAGCATTTTCTCAAACAGACTAAGAAACATAAATTTTCTTTGGCAAAAGACATCATAAGCTGGGCACCAGTGGCTCACACCTGTAATCCTAGCTACTCAGGAGAACAGAGATCAGGAGGATCACGGTTCAAAGCCAGCCTGGGCACATAGTTCATGAGATCCTATCTCAAAAAGCCCCATCACAAAAATTTGGCTGGTGGAGTGGCTCAGTGTAGACCCTGAGTTCAAATCCCAGTACTATGAAAAAACAAAAAGACATCGTAAAACTAAAGATAAATTATGCCTGGTGTGGTAGCAAATGCCTGTAATCCAAGGAAACAAGACTCTGTCTCAAAAACTAAGGGCTAAGCCAGATGCCAGTGACTCACACCTATAATCCTAATTACTTGGGAGGCTAAGATCAGGAGGATCATGGTTCCAGGCCAACCCAGGCAGATAGTTTACAGGACCCCCATCTCAGCCAGTTGTTAGGTGCAATGTCACATGCCTATCTTCCCAAGCTACTTGGGAGGCTAAGATTGGGAGAATAATGGTTCAAAGCCAACCCAGGCAAAAAAGTTTGTGAGAAGACCCCCCATCTCACAAGCTGGGAATGGTAGTACATACCTATTGTTCCAGCTGTGGCTGGAAGCCTAAAATAGAAGGATCAAGGTCCAAGCCAACCTGGGCAAAAAGTGAGACTCTATATCCAAAATAACCAGAGCACAAAGGGCTGGAGGCTTGACTTTAAGCAGTAGAGCACCTGCCTAGCAAGAGTGAAGCCCTGAGTTCAAACCCCAGGGCTGCCAAAAAAAAAAACTAAGGGCTGAGAATGTCATTCAGTGTTAGAACACTTGCCTAGCATGCACAGGCTCTGTGTTTCATCCCCAGCACTGCCAGGTAGGTAGATGATGGATAGATGGGTGGGAGGGAAGAAAGGAGGGAGGAAGGGAGGCATGGAGGTAGGTAGATAGATGGATGCTTGAGGAAATACTGATGACATGTATACGATTCAGATAAGTGTTTTTAATATGTACAGTCAAATGAAGTCAATAAATAACCCTATATTAATATGGATCAACTTGGCTGTAAACAAGAGCAAATGGAAAAGTAGCAGGAGAAGTTGTGTGTGGCTCAGCAGTAGAGCACTTGCCACGCATGTGGGAAGTTCACATGGTGAGGTTCATCCCCAGCACCAAAAAATTTTTTTCAAAAAGTACCAGTTTAAACAAGATAGAAATGCCTTTCTCCTGTGTTTGCATGCAGACATGGACAGCCAGGCATAGGAGAGCATCTCTACCAGGGACCCAGTCACTTCTAGCATTCTGTTCCACCATACATGGAGGTCACACCTCTAGGATCCCATGTGGCCATGGTCTAGGAGGAGTCCTGGCTGATACAGCACAAGGAAGAGAGAGTGTGTCCAGCTCTCTTAAGGAACATTGTGTTTACTGGTTTTGCTTCATGTTGCTTCTGCTTCCATCACTTTAGCCAGATCTTAAGTTTGGGGCCTCACCAGTGCCAAGAGATGGGAAAGTTGCCTGTATTTTAGGTCAGGAAGGACCCAGCCAAACTTTGTAACAACAGTAGAGACAGATGTTCTACTGGGGAGTCTGCTCAGTCTGTTGACTTCAGCTGAAAAAGTAGGGCGGGAAGTGAAAAGGAATTGCAGGTAGGAAGAAGAGCTCACAAAAGCTGCTCACTTTATACTTGTGGGAGTTCTGTAACTGACGCCCCCAATAATCAAATTGAAATGAACCTGCCCCAAATCCAAGAGCAGCCATTGCTCAGCTTGGTAGAGGCCATGCTGGTGAGGATGAGGGAAGGTGTACTGCACACTCCGCAAAGAGGAGCATAACACACAGGCTGGGCAAATCAGAATTGGTTTCGTTTTTTTTTGAGACAGGCTCTCCCTAATTTTCCCACAGAGCCTATGCTGGTCTCCACCTTGGAATTCTCCTGCCTTTCTAGTAGCTAGAGCTACAGTTGCCTGCCATGTGTCCTG